CCCCAAAACCCCAAAACCCCAAAACCCCAAAACCCCAAAACCCCAAAACCCCAAAACCCCTCTGACACAAAGGTATATTGAATTGATTGTCTTTCCTGCTCATTTAATTAGTTATGGGGATTGGATGAACATGCGAGGTTTGCGATTATAGTCTTCCCTCCTTCAAATCTCCCTTCCTGGCAAGCATGGCTTGTCTCATTCTGGTGACATCCTTCTTGCCGAGGTACTTAGTAGGATTGATTTCAACATTATCAACGATCTTCTCCCAAGGATTCTTAGACTTTTTGTGTTCCTCACGAGTCTGGAGATAGGCCCATTCCTCTTCCTTGTTCTGCTTACTCCTGGCTTGTCTCTCTGTATTCTTCTGTTGGTACCAGTCGTCGAGCTCTTGTCTGGCTGCGGCCTGTTTGGCTTTCTTGTCTTTGTATTCTTCTTCCTCTTTGTGTTGGAGAGCTCTCTGTCTGTCCATTTGCTCTTGCTCAATCTGCTGGATCCTGAGTTCTTCTTCTTCGCTAAGTGGAGCTTCGAAAGCATGGCCGACCTTGGGCTTGTTGACCACCTGGACCTGCTGCTGGTGGACGTCTGATACTTCGCCTAGGTGATCGTCGTTAGAGCCTTCGGGCTGGTCCATGTTGCTGTTGCCCCCTCCGAAGTCGCCTCCCCAGAAGTCGTTGCCGCCGTCAGCAGGGGAGTCCTGGTTGACATCGACTTGTTCTGAGTCTGGCTGGACTATAATCCAATTATGACCGCCCAAGTTGGCTTTAAACTCAATGAAAACTGCTAAACGAAACACAGAAGTTTACTGCAGATGGCGCAGAGCAAAGCGTGACTGAGAGTTTAGGAATCAGGCTTGCTTAGTTGAAGTAATCAATGAAATTAGGGACATCACAACAATTTTAAGATTGATTGTAATAGGAAATAGATGCTTGTCTGGTAGAGCGCTAACTTGCAGATATTCAGAATCTGAAAGTTCGAAATAATGTTTTAGAATTTACAGGTCTTTATGGCCTATCGCTTCAAAGACTCCCACTCTTCTCTCTGCCTAAAATCTATGCTATCCTATTATCAACACAAGCAGTATATTTGAGGCCGACTCTATTTAAAAATCCGCTCTAATTCAGCCTCTCCTACAAAGGATGACTCAATGAGTTGGCTAGATTCACACAAATTCAAAATCTGCTTGCGATCGAAGCGGAGCATTCTTCAAAATCCCAGCAAGCCAAATGGTCTGACTAGCTCATTAGGTCTGGTACTGCCTGTGGCAGGGCTATTCATTCGGGGACTTGGCTTACCACCAAACTCATCTTCTCGGAGGGGGTCGGCCTGGGGCTCTTCATTACTGTTCTGGTCAAACAATTCTGCCATGCGAGGAGATATATATTTTATAGAATTTTGTCAATATAAAACTTATGCATTGGGGTTTTGGGGTTTTGGGGTTTTGGGGTTTTGGGGTTTTGGGG